AAATAAAAACACCCACCCACTAGTGAGATAGAAGACGATTGCCTTCTTATGGCCCCGTAGATCAAATTCCATCCAACGTTTACGATCTCATCGACGAACAGATGGACTACGTAGCCGCGATGAGAACCAAGGGCTCTGCAGGTCCGTCGGGTGTGGCGCGGAAATTTATCGGAGCATCATGTGCTCGAAGAATTTTCAGTAGTGAAGGCAAAACTCTGTGAAAAGAGATATCTAAGATCAGTAAGATGACCAGGAATCTCCTGAAGTCATGTTATCACCCAGTCCTACTTGAAAGCTACACATCCTACAGACTTATTCCCTTAGACAAAGACCCTGGAATTCGACTAATTGGAGAGGGAAAGGTATTGAGGCGAATTATCGGAAAGACAGTAGCTTTCTTTTTTACAGAAGAGATTAAGGAAGCAGGTCCCTCACAGGTATACGCAGGGTACAAAGGAGGGGCTGAGGCTGCCATTCACGCGATGAGCCATGTTTATGATGAGGAAGGAACGGATGGAGCCCCTTTGATTCACGAGACTAATACCTTCAACCAAATAAACAGGGCGGTAGCCATGCACAACCTTCAGATAACCTGTAATGAATTGGCAATACACATAATCAACACATGCAGAAGTCCGTCCAGGCTTTTCTTACAAGAGGGAGGAGTGATATTATCCCAGGAAGGTACAACACAAAGTCACCCCTTGCAATGCCCTGGTGTGTAATAAATACTCCTACAATGATTCAAAGTTTGAGAATGAATACGCCAAAAGTCAAGCAAGTGTGGTTGGCGTATTATTTAGCGGGAGCGGGAAGCTTGAGGCAATTATATGATTGGTATAAATACCTGGAAAGAGAAGGAAGAAAGTTCGGCTACCATGCAGGTAAATGCTCCAAAACGCTGGCCAATGATGTAAAGCACATATTTGGTTAAGAAGTTAACATAACAACGGAAGGAAAACGTCCTCTGGGGGCTGTAATAGGTTCTAAAGAATATAAAGATCAGTATTGCATAGAAAAAGTTTAAGGATGGACAAAGGATATAACAGCTCTCTATGAAATAGCTAAACGTCAGCCACAAGCCGCCTACATCGCCCTAACGAAAGCGTATAAATCCAAGTTTTTCATGCTTCATGCGAACAATAGAGAACTTTGAAGAGTATGTAGAGCCTGTACTTGATGCCCTCAACGAGAGCATCGCCTTTCCTTCCTCAACTATTCGATTAGGAAGAACCGCTCTCGGATGAATTAAGTGACCTTGCAACCCTAAAGCCGGTTTTCCACTAGCGATATTTTTCGCGCGAAGCGGCTTTATTCTTTTGTATTTGAGCAATTTGTTCCAGATGGTTGCAGTTGAGAGCTCTGAAACAAAAGTTAACTGTCGATTCGCGCGAAAAATATCGCTAGTGGAAAACCGGCTTAACACCAGCAGTCGAAGCCTCACAGCAATATGCCGCTTCGCAATTATTCACAAAGCAACGCACTGATTTAATTATACGCCGAAGTGATAAAATAGAATCGTGTGAACAGTCCTTTGACGATCTAAGGAGAATGCAACAGACAACCAGGAATGAATTTGTGAAGTCAAGAATGTCCAATATAGACTCACCTCTTACTAATGTATTATGTAAATTTAGTTGATAATTTATGCTAGAGTGAACATGAGAAAGACACTGAACTAGCGACAAGTTGTAGTTATATTTTTAGACGATAAAAGGCTTTAAAATACAAAAATAACAGAATATATTTGGCGACGAGGATAAAAGAACACTCAGTACTTACGAAATGAAGAAAGAGAAACATCCAAGCGATAATTTAACGTTCAAATTCGAAGGAATAACACGCTCACCGTGAGTCACAAATTGTCGAGAAAATTCAGAATGGCGACCACAACAACGCTGTACTTCGACCCGGATCGTCATCCCGACAGCACATTACAAGCCTTCAATGAGTTTGTACAAAGCTTTGAGCTCCGCTACGACGCACAGTATGCCGACCCTCCGAAAGTTTCGCTCGACGCCGCCATCAAACGCTGGAAACTGACAAACACGAGGCGAAGCCATCGGTCGAGCAATATGACAGCATTCGTGCAGAATGGCGTGCGAAAGATCGTGTGGCGAAGCTTCTCTGCATATTCTCATCGAAACGCTTGTTTGCCGATTGGAAAGTCGCTGAGCAAGACGATGCGAAGCGAACAAACGCTAACTGGGAATATTTTGTTCAAAAAATGCAAAATTATTACAAGCCAACTGAGAACCTCACGCTCAAACACCACCAACTCCGATCATTGGCATGCACAGAAACCCAAGAATCATTTCCAGCATATTGCAACCGCGTGTACAAAGCTGCCAAAATTTGTAGTTTCAACAGTCACCACGATGATTGCATCGCTGAAGATACAGCCATTCGCGATCAAATTGTCATTGGTACTACACACGAAAAAATCAGAGAAGAGGCCCTCAAAAACTCATGGGATCTTCCAACACTACGCAAAGAAGGGATGCGAATCGAAAGCGGTTGAAGAGCTCAACAATGAAAAAGCTATCAACAAAGTGGGCAAATATTCGTTTAAGAGTATCAAAAAGAATAACGGATCGGCCACGGAGAAGTCACGATCATGTTACTATTGCGGGCAGGAAATCAAGAGCTTGGTGATTAGCCACATAAAAAACTGCCAAGCTCGTACTAGCAAATGTAATTTCTGTGGCGTGGTTGGGCACTATGAGATGGTGTGTCGAAAAAGAAAAACGTCAATCAAATGGAATCAGACAGCCAACAAGTAACCTCGCCAGCACAAGCTGACTCCCAGGACGAAGAAGATATATACCATATTAATCTATTTCGAATCACCGAAACCACGAGAGAACGAAAACCGAAAGAGCAAGCAATGACGCAGGATTTCAAAGCCCAAATAGCCATCAACAACAGCGTAGCAACCGTCTAAGCTGACACGAGAGCATGCATAAGCGTCTGTGGCAAAGAGCAAGCCCGCCAATGGAACCTTCTTCAAAGAATGGTCAAGACAAGCACCAAGATTAAGCCATATAACAGTCCCACCATACCAGTCCATGGGATCGCAAGATGCGCGGTAACGTACGGCATGCCTTCCACACCAGTTAACTGGCACATCATCGACAGCCCATGTGAACCAATACTGGCAGGACGAAGCGCTGAACAGCTCGGCATACTAAATTTCACTGTTCAACCTGACGTCTTTCAACCCGTAAGCATGATCCGGGCAGATCAAAAGCAATCACTACAAGACATACTAAAGAATTACCCAGACAATTTTAAAGGCCTCGGGAAGTTGAAAAATCACCAAGTGAAACTACACGTGGATTCAAGCATCAAACCTGTCGCGTTACCTACCAGACCAGTTCCATATCATCTGAAGGAACGTGTCCCTCAAGAAATCGATAAAATGATCGCACAACAGGTAATCGAGGAACACCCACCCACCGAGTTAGCACCTTGGGTCTCAAACGCCTCTCGCACCGAAACCAGACGGCAGTATTCGTATGACACTTGATGCACGCCATGTGAACCCAGCTACCACGCTTCTAACGTACCCATCCCACGACAAGAGGATATTAAAGCCAGGCTCAGTGGTGCCAGCGTGTTTTCAAAGATGGACTTCAAATCCGCATTCTGGCAAATTGAGCTTCATCCGGAATCCAGATATCTCACCGTCTTCCACGCTAATGACAAATTACACCGCTACAAACGCCTGACAATGGGTATTAAACCTGCACAAGGAGAACTGAACATTGCATTGCAACCTCTGTTCGCGAACATCCCGAATACACACCTAATTCACGATGACCTCGTTGTAGCCACGAAGACAGAGGCTGAACGCCTTTCAGCCATCACCGCAGTTATGGAAGCAATTACCAACGCAGGTATAACCCTTAACCCAAAGAAGTGCACATTCGGTGCATCCGAGATCGAATTCTGGGGGATGCGCATTGGTGCTAGTGGAGTACGACCTGATCCGTTAAAGGTGGAAGCACTAAATCACATCACACCACCAACATCAAAGGAAGAGTTGATCAGTTTCCTCTGTATGATGCAGTCCAATGTCGATTTTATTCCAAACTTTGCGCGACATGCCGCGAAGCTAAGGGAACTAACCAAAAAGAACTGTCGATTCGACTGGACTAAGCAACATAACACAGCGTATGAGGCGCTAATTCAGAAATTCAAAGATAATACGCTCCTGGAATACTTTGACATGCACAAACAAACCTTCATTTTTACGGATGCCCACAACACTGGGCTTGGAGCCATGCTGGCGCAGGGAGTCACAATAGAGCAAGCAAAACTAATCGCGATAGCGTCTAGAACAACCAGCCCGGCAGAACAGAGATATCCACAAATCGATCTTGATTGATTGATTGATTTATTAAAAATTAAATCACATGGCAGCGGAAACTGAATTGCGTGACTTATTACAAGGGTTGGTTACACTGGTATAATAAAGCTGCTACTATTAGTATATATACAAAGATTCTTGATTACACTACTATATTAAAAAATCCACTGTAATTATATATCCAAAAAACCTTATAGGATGATTACTCTAGAATAAAGAGTGCTATATTATTTTATGAACAAGGTTCTTAATTACTAAGATTCTTAGTTACGCTACGATTTTAAAAATTCTACCATAATTATATTTACAAAATTCCTTATATAGGACGTTTAAAGTTTCATTAGCCTAAGTTGGACATTTCTTATACAACTGGTTATATGCTTTACTACCAGCAATGATGAATGAGTTGGAGAATCGATTAGTAGTAGTTGTTGGTACTACTAGGGGGTATTGTACCCTCAGGTCATAAGCTTTAGGAACATGTCTTTCCTGTAGTAGATGTTTCAATTTATTATCTGGGCTTTCCTTTATGTTTTGGAATAGTCTGTTGGTGAGCGCTTCATGATCATTGAGACATTGCATACCTGATAAGTGTTGGGAAACTGTGGCCGTAAATTTATTCGGGCCCATGCCATCCTCGAAACACATTGTGTCAGTCCAAGATCAGGCGTCAAGATTTCCCGCCACCAAGCTCGTTGCGACAACCAAAGCTGAAAAAGTGATTCCAGCATTGAAAGAGATGTACGAGACCTATGGCAATCAGGATACCCAAATATCGGACAACGGACCACCATTCAATAGTGTAGCTATGCACAATTTTACCACCGAGCGAAGCATTACACAGCAGACAGCGCCACCACTACATCCATCATTCAATCCCGTAGAGACATTCATGCGACCATTGAGGAAAGCAATGAAGATAGCAAGAGAACACGGAAAATCTGAGAAAGAGAGCCTTGAAAACTTTTTGAAGAACTACAGGCAGGCTCCTCATCCTGCAACCTGTATTCCACCAGCAGCAATGCTCTTCCGAGATGGACAACGTTTAGATTTTCCAAGAAGGACAGCAACGGAAGACGAAGTCAAGCGAGGACGTGAGATAGACTTGAGGAAGAAAATCGAAAACAAGATTAAAGTAAACGGCTCCAAGTACACAAAGACGTCTCACTTTAAAGTCGGTGACAAGGTGCTCGTAAGAAATTATAAGAAATCCCAAAAATTCGATACTCTGTTCCTACGAATGCCATTTAAGATCATCGATATGAACGATGAAGAAAATGAGATCATCGTATATCAAGAGGACACTGATCTTACGCTTTGCAGACATCCTGACGATATCAAACCGTACAAGGAACAAACCGGTAATAATGAAGAAAATCACATTCCACAGCCTACGGTCGACAAGCAGTGGCCAGAGTTAGACGAGGCTTATGAGGATGAGGACTCCTTGTGCCTCAACAGACCACCTCCATTACGTCGGAGTCAACGAATAAGAAAAACTTCGCAATTCTACGAATGAACCATCAATATTACTGATATTGTTATTATTTGATCTAGTTAACGTTGGGCATAATGTATTATGTAAATTTAGTTGATAATTTATGCTAGAGTGAACATGAGGGAGAACTAGCGACAAGTTGTAGTTATATTTTTAGACAATAAAAGGCTTTAAAATACAAAAATAACAGAATATATTTCTTACCCCGATGTTTTACGCTTTACCGCTCAAAGACATGGACTTATCTCTAAACAAGCAAGAATTTAGAGATTCCTTGCGAATGAGATATAACATGCCCTTGCGTGCTCTACCAAGCTATTGTGCGTGTGGGGATCGTTTTACCATCAACGACGCCCTTACCTGTAAAAAGGGGGGTTTTGTTGCTCAAAGGTAGGACGGAGTTCGGGATTTGCGAAGAAGAAACGGTGCCAACAAAAACTACTAGATGTCGACATGGGATTTCACGCCCCTTGTATTTGGGACAATGGAGGACCGATTTTGGAACCGGATGTCAATTTCTTCCCAAATATTTGGCACAGACATTAACAGAAAAAGATGGTTAAAGATACGCGTCGCTTATAGCCTGAGACGGGGGCGCCATGGGTGTGCTAATTTAGGGGTGTCAAAAGGCAACATTATTCTGACAAACACGTTTTTTCCCCGACATCTTAATAAGAAAAAAGTAGCGTTTTCTGCTTGGAGTCGGAGCCACTAACCATAATAATCATGAAATAAACTGTATAAACTCACTGAACAATAAATGCGGTCGACGAAACATCGCCATTCATGATTTTATTGCGCCAATCTCTTGACATTTCGAAAATGAAATTTCCTGCGTAATGTTATATTAATAGAAACTATGTTTATCGGAAACCGGAAACGTTTAGAAGAAACAGCTAGTTAGCCTGCATGCGCGACAGACAGTATAATAAAAAATTAGGATTGTGTCGTACCGTACAGTGTTAGAAATAACCGCGTCTATTTTCTGATAGTTCAAATACTTTTGCGTTGTTCAGCATAACACAGCTGCAAATGCAAAAATAACTTAGTCTCTGTTATGATTGGTATAGTTCCGACAACATGGAACGTCCGACAGGTATTAATGCTGGGGGGGGGCGACTAACCGGGCTGAAACTTCAGCCCGGGATTGTTATATAATCCTAACAAAATCGCGCACGCGATTACATGAAACTTCAGCCCGGGCTGAAACTTAGTGTTGTTGTCATGTAATCGTAAATAAACTTAAACCCGGACAGGAAAATTCGCCTTGACAATGCTTTTTCGTTTGTTCATTTCATTTTTATGTGCAGTCATAGTCTCTTAAAAGTCAAGTTATTGTCATTCAGGATTTTAAAGCGCTCGAAGAATCGAAACAGGTCTCACTACCAGCCTTTACAAACTCATCCCGGGTAATCTGACGTGTCATAACACAGCCCGGGCTGAAACTTGCCATGTAATTGAAAAATATTTTGGCCCCGGTTTGCCGGGCTGAAACTCAGCCCGGGCTGAAAAGACTCCATGTAATCAGCTCGATCCTTATATTAGGCATTTATATTTGGCTTGGGTTGGCTGTGTCGGGGAGTGAGAAAAAACATAAGAGATGCCTGCGGAGGAGGCTAATTTTTCTTCGTGTCCTTGTGCCTCGTGTTTGAATCGACGTTCTTCCCTTGTGAAAAAAGTCGAATTGAAATAGTTTTCAGAACCATGTTCAACAACTACAAAGGTAAGTTGTTAAGATTTAGATTGTATTCATATTCTGTGGCGGTAATTGCATATTTATAGTATACCCAAGATTTTCTGTTTTATAGTTGATTTAGTGATTCACGTTGACGTAGTGTTTTTTATTACAAACTATATACAAAGTACTGTTTGCTCTCAGGAATTATTATACATATTACAAGTTTAGCGACCCTGCATGTTTTATATAGAATTCGATATTTCTATTTACTTACTTATATGAGACATGTTTCTTTGCAATTGGTTTCACAGAATCAAAAATGGCGGCCGTATTTGTTGCCGGACCAAAGTAATTTTAGAACTTTAAATTAAGTTGCCAAGTTGTGTCGTATTTCAGATTACACCATGATATTCTTTTATCACAAATATAAATGTATAAATGATTACAAAGCCCGGTCGAATTGTAATCAGGACCCAACATTTTGACAGTCCAGTCTACTGTCTTCACCAGGGGTGATGTAAAGCTGGAATCGAAGCTTCTTAAATATCCAAAGGATGATGTCACCTGCCAATGAGATGCATTATATTCGTTTGGTAAATAGGCACCGTCATCCTTATTCAGAGCATGATTACTCATATTTATATGTCACGCTTCTAGGCAAAGTCTTTGACCATATCGATTGTTAGTGGTAATTACTTTAGAGTTTTCCCTTGGCAGAACACCTGTGTGACACCAAACACAAAATTGCATGGGAAAACTCTAAAGTAATTACCACTAACAATCGATACATGGTCAAAGACTTTGCCTAGAAGCGTGGCATATGAATATGAGTAATCATGCTCTGAATGGGAACGACAGTGCCCATTTGTCAGAGGAATATATGCATCTTATTGGCAGGTGACATCATCCCTTGGGCATTTAAGAAGCTTTGATTCCAGCTTTAGATCACCCTTGATGAAGACAGTATAGACTGGACTGTCGAAACATTAGGTCCTGATTACAATTTGACCAGGCTTTGTGATCATTTATATAAACCAGAGTAGCGAGCGATAACAGGGTTAAAAGGGAGTATTAAAACTGTTCCTATTACAGGATTCATTTGCGAAACTTATAAAACTTTATTTTTGTTCTAATTTCCAGGTTTTGGTGCTCATTTGCAGGAAGTTGCAAAAAGAATTAATGTGCCTGAGTGTGAATTCCACGAATGCACATTTGAATACCAAGTCACATTTGAATACCAAGTCACATTCGAATACCAAGTTATATTTGTATACCAAGTTATATTTGTATACCAAGTCACATTTGAATACCAACTTACCTTTGAGTGCCAACTTGGCTTTGAATGCCAACAATGAAGTTACAATAAAGTTATATTAATCAATGAAGTTACATCAGTAAATAAAGTTACATCAATGAATAAAGATGCATCAATGAATAATTTCATATTTATGAATACAAAATGTATAGCAAAAATCCCAAAAGTATGGCAGACAACAGTATGACATCCAACAGTAAGAAAAGCAAAATCACCTCATTTTGTGACCTTTTGTCACCTTCTGTAGTCTTCCCACCTGCAGGCAGAGTAACGCCTTGAGCAGGCGTCTTGTTTTAAAGAGAAAGCCTTTTTGTGTAGATCAATTTTTTTTAATAATTTTTATTGCCCGTCTTTAGTTCTTAAAAATTCATAGTGTAAATAATATGTGATGTAACGTCAACAAATTTTAATATAGGTTTAAAGAGGGTCACGAATACCAAGCTATCACGCGATGCACATTATGCAATACCCGCGAGCCGCAAAGTCCTTAGAGGTGCCAACGTCGCATTTTCAATCTATGTAAAATAAGGTTAATTTTTCGTACATATTTCCCACACTGCGTTGCAATTTATTGTTTGACAGTCCCGTGACGTAAGCACCTCTTAGGTCTATTTCGCGCAAAAGGGTTGGGTTAACTACAGTGAACTCAAATAAGACTGGAACGCTAGTTCTCTGAAATTCCCTGATTAATGAGTGAACCCAAGATGACGGATCATGAAGCCTTTCTTGAAGGTATGATCAAGGCCTCTAGCTCGGAAATCTCAAAAAATGCCGCCATTTTACGTACGAAATTTCCGCATTCCGATCCAGGCGTGGAGGCCTGAATCATACCTACAAGAAAGGCTTCCGCCATCTTGGCTTCAAATTTTTCGTGGAGCTAGCGTTCCAGTCTTCTTTGAGTTCACTGGTTAATTTTCACTTCCTTGTTTAGATAAACTGTTAAGTAGCACAGAAATTCAACTTCGTATCCTTGAAGCGATCGAGTTAAACAGTTTGATGTGCTTGGACGTACTTTGTAAAGCATACGAAGATCAGCAAACTCCAAATAAAAAAAGGGTAAAACTGTTCCATCGCCGGTGCGGCCTTTCTTTCTGGCCTATAGACGAGCGTCCTAAAGTAACAGCTTTACACGTCCTCGCTAGCAGGGTTTCGTCAGTGAAGGCGTTGAAGGTCTTAGAACAGTGTCCGAAATTTTTTCAAGATTTCGCAGACGAGGAAGACAGTAATGGATCAACGCCGCTTCTTCTGGCAATCAAATGCAACAATATGAAACTGGTAAAACGGCTTCTTGAAACAAAACCCAAAGTAAACAAAAAAAATCGACATGGTGAGACGCCCATCCTTATTGCAGCTTTGAAGGATAACGCTGATGCAATTAAAGAAATGATAAATACGTGTAAGTGTATAAATCCATTTTCTTATACAAGGCTTTTCTTATACAATTCAGAGTGCGATACGGCACAAAATTAATAGTTCCGTGATTAATATATTATTGTATCTAGCTAGCCTATTTATTTTATGACAGGTGTTTCAAGTTGCACGTCAATTAATATTAAAAGCTCATCTTACGAAGATTAAACTATAAAACAGTTTATTTATTTTCGGTTTTTCCTCAAACAGTTATTTTGGTTTTTAAATATTTTTTCTCCGTAAATGATAATGTATAGTGTCATTAATTAATTTGTAACCGAAAATTTGAGAACGTCCGGCTTTCGAGCTGTGTACTTTGCGGCTTGCCCACGCGTCGGCATGTGATAATTTTTTTCCAACAGTGAGTTTCTTAACGATGTTTACTGACCTCGACTGTACGGTAAAATATTTAACCTCGGACGGGGTAAAATATCAGACCTCAGAGTCAGACAACATGCAAGTCCTCGGTTTGATATTTCATCGTATACAGACCTCACGCTTATGCGTGCATGTAACTATTATTGGTCCGTGACAAAGCTTCCAAAACAAGTCTCGATTACATTCTATGCCCATTGCAAAATATAAGGCGATTACATGCTGAAGCACAAAACTTGTTAT